TTGTGTATGTATCTATCAAGAGAATAGAGAATGACTATTAAGTAAGTGCACTTTGGAAAATTTTTATCGATTACCGCAATATCGACTGCTGGTATGCTATGTATTTGGTGCCTTTTTAACATTTAATTTAAAGTTTTAAAATATTGTTGATGAAATAAAATAAAACTAAGATTTATTAATTGATCAAAAAAGTACCATTTTATGGAAAACGGTACCAAAGTACCATCGATTAAAAAATGTACCACTTTTGGACTTCTACCAAATTGTGGTAGATCTGCCACTTTTTTGAGCATCTACCACATCTAGTTGTGGTGTGTTTTGAGTAGTTTTCTTTTTGCTCGACATAATTTTTTAATTTTAAGACCAAAAATTTTCCAACACTAAACACTAACAACAGTCAAAATGGGAGGATAAAATAAACCGTAAAATAGTAAATTTTCTCAATATGCAATTTTTCGACAGGAAACGTGGTTTTATTGTGTTAAATTGCAAAATATATGATTTATAAAAAGAATGAATAGCGAAAATGATAAAAATCGGCGATTTTTGTGAAAGGATTAACAAATTTCAGTGCATCTCAAATTTCTAAAACGTTGTTTACTTTTACTTGAGAATTGTCAAAATCGGCAAATCACAAGTAGCGGTTTCTGGAACGATCCACATTTGTTCGCTACATCGTGATGTGATAAAAAGAAAAGCTGGCAGCACTCCGCAAGGTTGCAGAAATTTTTCAAAATACATATGTTCGAAAAATATCTTGAGATGGAAGGAACTGCTTTACACTGTCAAGGAAAAAAATGGCCAAAACTCAACGCAATTTTTATCAACTTCAATCTTGCACTTTATTACACTAAAATTATTATTTTTTTAGTTTATAATTAAAATGCTTGCAATTTAGGTGCAACCTTGCAGAATTTTTTTAATTTTTGTACAAAGTTCCATCCAAAACCTGAGATCTACCACATTATTTTGAAATCTACCACATTTTTTTTCAGATTCTACCACACAAATTTTATAAGTCCGATCACTGGCCCCCGTACGCAGCATTGCTTTGATGGATATGAAACAAAAACAGAGACGAAAGCGTATAAATGGAAAAATTTTTCATTCTCTTATGTCCCGCTGATAAGCTGCCTATCGAAATGAATGTAGCAATGCTTTGCTCAATGTAAAAATTTTTAAATCTTTCGACGCAAATATTTCGAAAATGGTTTAATGAATCTTAAATCTGAAAAGTTTGTGCAAAGTTTCAGATCGAGCAATTTAATTTGATGTATAATTTGTCTCTGTACGACTTGTAGATCGCTGGGAATAAGCGCCTTGTTTCAGAATAATATATATGTAGATAATTTGACATCACTTTGATATGAAACTTTTTGGATTCGGTTGGGAGTAATGCAAACATCGATTTAACGTAAAATTTGGTCACGAATACGCGAAGGCATTTCTTATGAAGGTGATCAGATCTGCACCGTTATTTCAAATTTCAAAAATGGGACAGCAAAATTAAAAAGCTTGGCGTTTTATTTTCTGAAGTTAAGACTTTGCGACCGAAGACCGAACCATGCGGGACTTCTCTTTACTCAGAAACGTCTGGATGGATTTAGATGAAACGGATCGCCTAAGGTTTTGAAGCCATGCAAGCAATATAGTAATAATAGAGAAAGAAGTTTCCCTTCAGTAGTGCGTGGGATCCACACACAACTTGTTTTTTTTTTTTTTAAATAGCCACTGTATTAATATACAAATAATGTTTTCAAACTTGTATAATAAAACCACAAATTAACAAGAGACTCATTTAGACAGCTCGGTCGTCATCATGGTCTTTTTAGTAATTTCCTGGTTTACCCATGATTAATTTTTGCCAATAAATTAAAACAATCATGCCGATAAAAAGATAAATAAATACCTTTTAATTTACTATCAAAAGCTTCGCCTCTTTTCTTGTGGAACAGTCTGTTAAAGTCTTAAGTTTAAGAAAATAGATTCATTCGAGAGCGAATAAAATTATTTAGGAAATAACGTTCAACAATTTTGTTTTTGTATCAGGTAGTTAAAATACGATAAGGAAGTAAAACAAATTGCCTGTAACGCTGTTTATTGGAAGAGCTTAAGCATTAATCTGCAAATGCATAGTTTAGCATTTATCGGGAGTCCGTTATATAATCTAAAGAACAATATCAAATTTTGCACTTTGTGTTTACTATTTTAGGAGCTATTGTTGGAGCTATCGACGTTTGAACACTTACACGAGCAGGGCCCTACTGCACCAACTACTTTCAATTTATAATTTTTGGATAAGTGTTTGTTTTCAAGTCAAGTTGCACTTATAAAAAAAACCTATCACTTTATCAAAAAATAATTAGTATATTTGATAAGCATGACACAGAAAATTTCTTTTGCTTTGCAAATGGAGAACTTTTGCAGTAATGTCCTTAGCTAAAATGATTAGCGTTTCTTAATGGAAGGAACCAAGGTACGCTTTGATTTCTATTTCTCAAGCCAATAGCGACAAATGTAACGAATAACAACCATTCTTACTTTGTGTACATTTTCAATATCTCTCATTTTTGTGTCAAACATAACGCTAGCATGTACTTGCATATGTATGTCCATACAAGGGAAGTTGCGAATGTCGAATTTTAGACATCCGCGGATGCGAATGCGGATGCGGATGTGGATGCGAATGCGGATGTCAAGTATTTTTGAGAAATAATTTAGGTGAGTACATTAGGTGATTTAGGTAAATAAAAAATGTAAAAGTTAGTATTTTTTAATAATGCGTTTTTTTATTTAGTACTTGAATTTAAAAATTGGAACTTTGTATTCAATAAAGAGTAATTTTGCTGCCTTTTCGGGTTACAGCCTGTTTCTTAACGGGTCGTAAATCAAACCTGCGCCACTAAATAACTCCTCGCTCGAGGCGACAAAATTGAAAAACTTGAAACTTGACAAAATTGTAAATTCTCTTCGATTGACGCTGCACCAGTTGAGAAGACTTTCAGTTATATTTATTTTTTTATTGCGGTGCAATAATTCCTTTTTGAGAATTGCATCGGGGCTGCAAATGTCGGATGTATCCTCCTGACTTTCATCTTCACCGTTGTTTTCCAATTTGGAGAATCTGTTACGTCATCAGCTTTTTCGATTTTAGTTTTTGTAATTCATTTTTAATCCTGCCTTCTGTGACTGTTTTGAAAAATTTGTGCTTATAGCGAGGTTCTAAATAGGTGGATATGGCAAATAAATTGTTATTTTCTAGGAATGGAAATTTCGAAGAAAATTCTGTTTTGAAAGTCATCGCTGCCAGCCGAATTAGTTTAAAATTTTGGTATTTTGTTAAAAAGAGGCACCTCGTTTTTTATAATAATTTGAATTATTGGAATCACGGACGATGAAGGTCTCAGATCTGCTTAGCTCCTGGGTGACTTCTTGGAAAGGTTCACCTGTAATTAATAGGTTGCAATTACTTTCTTTATTAGCTGAGCTTGACTTTTCCTAGTTGCAGGCAGTCACAATTAATTACTCACCGTTGTCGGTACCATAAGCCATCACATCCGTTTTGTTATTGCATTCCATGCGGTCAATGTGCTTTGATATTTTGAGGTGAATGAACGCAAATTTTCAACATATCGTTAATATAGTATGGAAAGGGCGTATATCACATTGTCCCTGAAATGCAAAAAAACCACAACTAACTAAATTTTTTTATTGCATAAAACGATGTGGGGACTTATGATTTGATGAAATGCATCATAATCAATCAAAAAGTGAATTTTGGATTTTTAGTTAGTTACGGCTTTTTGTATTTCAGCGACGATGTCAGTTACGCTTCCATACTATACTAATGATATATTGCATGCCAAGACCCACTCCTCAATAGATATTATTATTATTCGCCTTGAATTAATTCTTATTTGATTTGTGAACTTGGCTGTCAAGTTATTCACATATCATTTTATCTTTATTTCGATGCGTGCTAATTTTGACCTTTATCACAAAATTAAAATAAATGTGATTGTTTTCGAGCTGAAAGACTAATTACACTTATAATTCTTACCTAATTAAGGGTCATCTTTTAACGCGCAAATAGTCGATTCGCTTTATAGTCCGACGTTGAACATTTCCGCTGGAAATACCTATTGAAGGATCTACTATTTGACTTTAAATTACAAAAGAAGGGGGACGCAGGGGGACAGTTTTAACGTAGCATCTCCACAGGCAAAACATTTTGGCTACAATTTGTCTATTTGCACAATATTCGCCTTCGCAAAAGCTCCGCATTGATTATTGCGAATGCGAAAGCGAATGCGAATGTTAAAATTTATGCGGAAGCTCCGCGGTTGCGAATGCGAATGCGAATATTCGCAACAACCCTGGTCCATACCTAAAAGCCCTCACAGTTAACTTTATTGTTCATTGTAATACATTTTCACTTTTTTCTATTCACAGAGGGACGAAAAATTACAAACGCATCGCAATTGAAGGTGACCAAGATGCTGCTAATTGTCTCCACCGTTTTTGTTTGCCTCAATTTGCCCAGCAGTGTGATGCGCATCAAAACGTATTTGGAGGTAAGTACGTGCAGGCACTGTTGCCAACTTGGTGCTTTCGGCACTAAAAATGCGAAAATTTTTGAGTTTGGTGCTTGGTGCGTTTTTTGGTCCTTTTATTTTTAGTTTGAAGACACCAAATCTGTAAATCTTAAAAAAAGGGAGAACAATTTCTAGCAATCGTAAGTTTTGTAAGAAACTTTACAAAAATGGAAACAAAATCATGGCACAATGACAATCATAAGCAAAAGAGCATATGTTTAGCAACAAAATATGTGACAGCACTTTCAATCATGCCAGAATTACATTCGGTAATTTGCCATTGTTGGGACCAGGAATCGACTTTTAGACCTAATAGGAAATTATTAACTCTAACTTTATTTTATTATCTCGTTAATACAAAAGAAAAATAAATTCTTGTTAGATTCGATTAAGCAAACAAATTAAAAAAGAAGAATCGAAATCGGATGAGATTTGAAGAGTGGACAGTTTTCTTGACACAAAAATATGTTTCCAACTATGCGCTGTTGGATAATACGCTCAAATAAGACCCGTTTCAAAGGGAAATCAAATTTCGTTTTGTTTCAGGTGGTAATCGTTCCTTTAATTCACAAGATCATAAGAGACTGTGGTGTAGATTTAAACTACCACATAGTTCATGAAACTTAATTTCTCGTTTTTGTTCTGGTTTCATAAGAATTGTAGAAAACATTTAGCAAAACGAAGAACAATTTAACGTTTAAACCGTCAGCAAAAAATTTAAAAACTTTGCTTACATTTAAGCGAAACGGCAACGTTGGACACAGCTGCAAATTAGAAAATAAGAACACGAATGTTAACGTCGCTTGCACGAAAATGTTTGAATTTATAATATGACTAGCTTATACCCGCGGGTTTCACCCCGCGCTTTTATGCAAATAAGAAAAATAATTTAATAATGTTAGATTTTATTTCTGTGCCCATTTCGTTATAGCTCGTTGTTTTTTTAAGCGAGTTAAGGTATTTAGGCCGTTTAAAACTATGAAATTATAAAATCTCGTCTGCGCGCTAGGCATACGAAAGATATCAATCCCTCTAAGTTTACCTTAAAATGGTTCCAGGTATACGACGCGTAAACATGTAACCTTCTTGGAGGTGCCACGGCGGGTTCTAATATTTCCAACTCAAATTTAGTAACCTGGCCTTGATAAAATACCACTTCTCATTACTGTAGCAAACGCCTCAAGAGAGCTTTAGATTATAACGCCGAACCCGGCTCTCCCTTTTCCATTAAATGAAATTTTTTCTATCAGTACGGCACTTACAAAATAAACCTCCATAACAAATTTAAAATACTTCCAAAGATTTTCTATCCTTCCAGAGATATGTATTAAGAAATGTTTAGTATGTATGGGAGGCGACATGCCTCCTTTTTTAATAACTCACATTTTTTCCATGAGCAATTGAAACATTTTGTATACACAACTCCATACCAAGTTCCAGTATTCTTCCACAAACATTTCCAGGGATATGTGGCAAGAAAAAGTCAATTTGCACAGAAAGTGCCACGCCCCTTTTTCTTATAACCCTAATCTTCTTTCATGAATTTAGAATTGATTTTACATACCCCAGTACCAAGTGCAGTACTCTACCATGAACACCTCTAGGGATATGCAGTATAAAAGTAAATTTGTACGGGAGGTACCATGCCCTCTTTACGAATAACGCAAATTTTTCTCCATGAGTATGGAATTAATTTTGTATACACATCTCGGTGCCAAGCTCCCGTCCTCTGCAATAAACACCTCCAGAGATATGCGGCATAGAAAAATCAATATGCATGGGAGTTGCCACATCACCTTTTCCAATAACTCTCATTTTTCTCCATGAATATGGTATTAGTTTCACATACATACATGCATACATATGTATTTCCATACCAAGCTTGAGTGCTTTACCCCAAACATTTGAAGAGATATGCAATATGAAACTTTCAGTCAGTATGGGAGGTGCTACGCCTCTTTTCCAAAAACGTCCATTTTTCTCCGTGAATATGAACATGATTTCACACAGTGTTGGAAAACTGTTAATCTGATTAACGATTAAAATGTTAATCGCGTTTGACGATTAAAATTAATTAGTCGTTATCAACTGTACGATTAATGAAAACATTTTTTGAATCGTTAATCGCTGGCTGCGATTACGTTTAATTAATTTAAAACATTAATCGTTAATCCAATTAAAAATAAAATCTGATTAATTTGTCTAGTTTGTCCGAGTTTGAAACCAAACACCAGTTATAATAATTATTTTGTGTTTTACGCTTATAAAAACAACATAATATAAAAAAATTATAATTATTGTTATTAGTAATACATAAACTGGGAACTTTTACAAACCTAGTTTTTAAAACGTTTGTTGGTATATATCTTAATGAAAATGCACACCAAATTGCTTAGATGGATAAGGAAACCCGACTTAGCCATGCCGGATTAACTTGGTTTGTGTGCACAGGGAAATTCCAGCATAACTTAATTAATCACCAAACCTACTTGATCGAATTAAGAGTTAATGATTAAAAATTAATTTTTTAATCGCGGTTACGATTAACTGTTTAGTCAGATTAAAATTAATCATGATTAACTCTAATCAGATTAAATTTAATCGAATTAACTAACTGATTAAAACATCAATCGATTAATGCCAACTTTGATTTCACATAGATATCACTATACCAAGTGAACTCTCCCACAAATACTTCCAGAGATATGTATGTAATATGAAAATTCCAATTTGTATGGGAGGGGCCTTGAGTTATCGGACTTACTTTCAGTCTAAGACAATCCTTCCGAAATCCGTAGTAAGTGTGCTAAATTTCGTTCTGATCGGAAAAACGGTTAAGGAAGTAGCCTGTTTTTCAATCCAGGTCATAAACCATCTTTGAGCAAAATTTCATTTTCAAACAAGTGGCAATTCTTAAAAAAGTAGCCTATTTTCCAGTCTAGGTCATAAGCTATCTGTGTGCAAACTTTCATGCAAATCAGTTCATTCATTTACGCGTATTAATTTAATTATACTTTCCTAATACGTGATAACTCTTAAAATAGTAGCCTATTTTCCAACATAGGTCATAAGCTATCTCTGTGCGAAATGTAATGCAAATCTGTTCAGTCGTTTCCGCGTATTGATTTAATTAAAACTTTTTTAACAGGTGACAACTCTTCCGTTCAGACTTTTCCGCATATTGATTTAAATAAACTTTTTTAGCAGGTGGTAACTCTTAAAAAAAGTAGCCTATTTTTCAACCTAGCTCATAAGCTATCTGTGTGAAAACTTCCATCAGTTCACTCGTTTCCGCGTATTAATTAAATTAAACAGGTGGCAACTCTTCCAAAAAATTAGCTTATTTTTTACTGTAGGTCATAAGCTATCTGCTTGCAAAATTTCATGCAAATCCATTCAGTCGCTTCCGCGTATTAATTTAATGAAACTTTTTTAACAGGTGGCAACTCTTAAGAAAAGTAGCCTATTTTCCACTGTAGATCATAAGCTATCTGTGTGCAAATTTTCATGCAAATCCATTCAGTGGTTCCCGCATATTAAATAAATGAAACTTTTTTAACAGGTGGCAACTCTTAAAAAAATAGCCTATTAACCAATCTGGCCCATAAGCTATCTGCGTACAAAATTTCATGCAAATCCGTTCAGTCGTTTCCGCGTGATGATTTCCCAAACATCCAAACATACAAACTTTCACATTTATAATATTAGTAAGATATTAGTAAGAAGTAAGATAATAGATTGGCGCTTACACATATGTTAGTGTTTGGCCGACCTTCTCCTCCGATTTGTGGCGTGCGCCTTGATGTTGTCACACAAAGTGGAACCTACAGTTTTACGCCGACTCCGAACGGCGATTGTATTTTTACGAGAAGCTGTTTTTCAAGGCAGAAATACACTTGGACGTTTGCTATTTCCTGCCGAGGGGCCACCGCTGTTAAGAAAAAAATTTTTTTCTAAATTTGATATTGCGATATTGCTTTGACCAGGGACACAACCCATGCTCTGCGGAGTGGAAGCGCGTACTGCTCACCACTACACCACAGCGACCTTCGAGCAAGAAACGTTGATTTTTATTAGTTTGAATCGGCATCCCTACAATACAATTTTTCATGTATACAAAATCCATTAAATACTCAAATAAAAATGTGGTGCTTTTTTCGAGAAATAACGCGATTTTTCTTTTCTTTTTAGTGCTTTTTCAAATTCAAAGTTGGCAACACTGCTTGCAGGCATCCTATTACCAAACGTAGAATAGCACACACAACGAAATCTTAGAATAACAGGAATTTCATGCTATCAAAGTGTATGTACATTAAAGTAGTCCAAAAATTTATGTGAAAAATTAAGGTCGGATTTTTAATGCCGCCACCCCTTAGGATAGAACAAAAAAAACATACTCCTATTTTTTTGTTTTGCAAAAAAAAAATTAGGTAGTGATCAAAACGCTCAAAGTTTTCCATGTATTTTATGTGGGGAAAAACCACTTTTCGTAGAAATAGTGTTGAATTCTTGAAAATCAATATTTTTTGATCGGAAAACTTTGCTTATCTTCAGGAGATTCCCAGTAATAATACCCAGTTGGTTCTTTAACCATTTTTTCATGGTAACTATATTTTATAGGTCCTCCAGAACCCCCAGAAAGTGCAATAGGGAGCCAATAAAAAATTCTTAATATTAAAAAATGGCTAAATAAACAATTGGGTATTAATATTGGAAGTCTCCTAAAGAGAACCACAGTTTTCCGATGGTAAAATAAAAGGGGTATTCTCGAAGTCTTGCACTATGCACGGATTGCACGAAATGCAAAAATACTATGCCAAATTTCGAAGAGTACGAGAGCACCCCATTGCAAAGTGGTAGTGGGTCTCAAGCAGCGAAATTATGTATCAAATACAATAACAAGAGACAGCAAAAAAAATGGAGTGAGCGAGATGAGAGGAATGAGAGAAATATGTGGCAATTCCAACAACAAAACCACC